GTCAATTTCTTTAACACCTTTCTTTTAAAGTTAATAATGTAAAAAAGAATTTCAACATAAAGTGGAAATGGATATTAGTTTTTTTAGGTCTAAATTAATCTATAATATCTTCCTTTTTCTCTTTATTTTTTTTAAACTGCCTTTTCTGTTTGCTTATATAAGTACTGCTTCCAAATATTTATGTCTTCTGAGTAAATTATTTTTCCAAAGACTTATTTCTTAATTTTCTAGATCGTATGGCTTGGCAGCAAATCATACTGTATGCTAAAGTATTATTTCTTAAACATAGTAGAATGCCTTAAACTTATGCATTGAAAGTGAAACATGTAGAAAATTCAACAAAACTAAAAGAGTCTGATTCTGAAGTAGACGCAAACTTCCAACTACACAACCATAATAAGAAAATTTGTTAAGACACTATGTCTGGGTTCCTATCAAAGAGTCTAGAGATACGGTGGTCTATGGTCGAATTCACACAAGTTTATTTCTCATTGTTTCCTTGTTGATACTAATAATTCTTGTGTGAGTCTGTCTCAATTATTAAATTTATTTATTTTTTTCTGATCAGGGCACTGTTGATAGGCCATAATGCTATGATTTAAATAATACAAGATGGCAGAAAGCATTTATCTTCTGGCTGCTTAGTGGTATGTTTGTAATTTTCAGAAACTAAGATTTTGTTACATAAAAGTTTCCCACTAGTGAGATAGAATTAGAAAAAAAACCATAAAATTTGACACTTTATTAAAGTAAAAGTATTTTTACTATTAATATACAAATGGTGAAGAGTGACAGTTTTGAAATACCATAAGCCATACTTTCAATGTCTCTCATAAATACAAAACTTCAACATTTGCAGTATACTTTTTACAGTTTAGACATATATATACAGCATTTCATAGGGACATACTATATTGAAATAATAAGAAAACATGATCGTTAACTATACACAATTTGGATAAAAATGTATAAGTTAAAAAATATATGACTTCATATTTTATTATTTTAGAATAAAGATAGAATTCCCATACCTCCAAATGTGTTTTTAAACTCTTTTGTAATTGTTGATATTTGTCCTCAAAGGTTTAGAGACAAATCCTTAACAAACAACATGTTTTGAGAATGCAAAATAGTTTTTTGTTTTTAACGATATAATTTTACTTATAGCACGGTGTTAGTTTAAACATCATATTTTCAAGTTATTATAAGAGTTTATCTCTGTTACATGGTCTTTCAGATACTGTTAGTGTTTTGTCATTGCTCTACTTTTATTGGGTTAACTATACACCTAAAAATGATTTTATTCCTTGATTAGACATTTCTGTATCTATTCCAGTACTGGTCATTTATTTTCCTGGTGATTTTATCTTTATTTTCCTTAACTCTTTTGTTTGGTATTGATAGAAATGCTCCAAACATCATTTTCTTACTTATTTTCTTCCATGCAAGGCTAAAATTAGACATAAAAGATATAGGAATGTAAATTAGAAAAGAATAAAGTTGTGATATATACACTTACTTTGGAAATTTCTATAATAATCATCATGAATAATAATTGGTCAGTAACCAGAAAATTATGTCAAACTAAAGTTAATGAAACAATATTAACTAATTGATTTAAATTATTATAAAACTATATAGTAAATATGAATAGTTTGTAAGACTACTAAATATATTAACAAATAAATATTCACTATAATATATAATATAAAAGTCAATGACCATTATATGAAGCAAGATAATTATTATGTAATAATCTTGTAAAATGTTGATAAGTAGCTGCAGCCTCATGGGTGAACACAATTTAAAATAAAAAAAAGAGTGAAGTTTGGAAGAAAATTACATGTACTCAGCACTTACTATTGCTAGGCCTTTTATAATATTTTCATTTATGTTTCATATTAGAATATTATTAAGACTATATATATTTATAATATTATCTGTAATAATTTAACTTCTGTGATTAAATTTTAAATTTTAACCAAACACATTTTAAGTTCATCATATGAAATTCTACCTATATGCTATTGGAGTTTTAGACAGACTATTCCAAAGGGTTAGTAAGAAGTGGAAATTGAAGATATATAAGAAAAATCTCATTGTAAAATGATTGCAGATTTAATGAAATGTTTTGAAAAGATACAGTCCCTCTAAATTTTCCATGAGAAAATCAAACTAAGCATTTACATCATTTTCCAAAAAAAAATAATGGAATTTTAAATAGGTACCATATGCATCATCAGTATTTTTAAATTAAAATGTAAACTTCTCTTACCATTTCAATTATAGATATTTTGATATTTGTTCATCTTGCCATCACATGGATGATTTATGATCTCCACAAATCAGTGAAGACCCAAGTGACCCCACAGTAGCTGCCCTGGTTGTAAGTAGCATCTGTTGTATTTCTTAGAGCTAACATCACAATTGTCACAATACAGACGTGTCATCTAGAAAAACAATACAGAACCAACTAAAGTATCTTATGAGTGGACTAAAGTATTATTTTATTATAAATAAAAATAATTTGAGTGTATATATATTGTGGGTAAGGGAAAGAGGTTACAATAAAGTTTTTTATTTGATTGTAAAAAAATCCAGCTTTAGTGTCATATGCATGATCAAAACAGATATAGTAGTTGTAGCTTTTCTTTAAAGGAATGTCATGCTAATATAAAGGCACAAATACCTGTTAATTATTCAAAAAAGAGATGATTTTAATATACAAAGAATTGTTGTAACTTATAATTCATTTGATTACTAATATCTATTTTATATAGATGCTTAACACAAAGGCTAAGATTCAAATGATGTTTATTGGGTCAAACCCATTTGAAAATGATGATGTAGGTATTAATTTTAAAAAATAAAAGTTTTAAAGATTATTAATGTTAGACATTAGTATAAATAGAATAGTAATATATCTTATCCACAAAATAATAAATTAACCTGTCAAAATCACAATTTTAATGCATTCAAACATCACTGTAAATTATTTTGACATATTTGTGTCAGTTTTAAAAATACAACATGTATTAAAATTCAAATATTAAATTTTTCTCTCATGGGGTGTCAAATATAGATTGTCATTTTATCAGCTCCCAACCTTACATTTGCGCCTTTTTACAATTGGTGTAAAGTTCAGATTACCTTAACAATACTTAAATTTTGTCCAGTGGACATTTTGTTATAACATGAAAGTGGACTTTCAGATAGTAAAATTACATAAATACATTTAGACGAAAATAGAATTAAAAAATAAAAAAAATCATTTCAGGCTTAATTATAAATTGAGAATTCACTATATGGCATTCTCATTTGGAAACTTTACAAACTGTGTAATTAGGAGGATTTCTTTGAAATTTTAAAAGTTTACCACATCAATATGTTATCTACAGAGCATCGATTTCTAGGACACCACAGATTCAGCATCTCTGAAACACCTGAAAGCATCCATGGACTCTATCCAAAGTTACACAATGGTTCAATATGATGACAAAAGATTTAAGACTATGTATATAAATTTAATTCAGCTTCTTTACGTAGAAAAACTGAAGACATGATAAAATTAAAGCTTCAAATTGAGAAAACACAAAAAATATTTTGCTCTTCTTATTTCTCTGTTCTTGTGTTATAGCACAAATATGACAATTCAAAACATGCTAAATTGCTTTACCAGTCATACAGATTATTTTAATCATTAGTTTAAAATCATGTCGTTCTATCAAGGAAAAATCAGTATTCATGGCTATTGCTTCTAGACACCACTACTAAGCCTGTTCACTTTACACAAACAAATAAATTCAAGTATTTTGACTAATTTTAGTACATTTGGTATAAAGTAAAACAATCAGAAAGAAGTACACCTTAAAAAATGAAACTAAAATGACCCAACAAACATAAGCTAAATATCCTAGACAAACCTATCGAGAACATGTTTGGTAAGCAAGTTTGGAAAGGATTAAACTGGTTTGTTTGCTTATTTAAGATAGACACCGTTCAGGTTCTTAATTAGGCACAGATTTCTGTTTTGGGTTTCTCTCTGTCTCTCTCTTTAGAATGTGCCAGGAGGGGCATCAAGGCGAGACCCCTGTAATGACCCCGCATTTCCCACAAAGCTCTGTAAAGATTAAAGCATCTTTCCATGCAGTTGGGCACTGTTGGTCTAGCTGACAGTCAGCAGGTGAGGTAAAAGATACAATAAAACATTTATCTCTCCTTGGATGGCAAGTTTAAGCACTTTATGAAGAGAAGCATTCCAGAGTGGCACTAATGTTGTATCTAATTTTCATGAAATTACCTCATAGTATAAGAGCAGGGCCATCTTTATTGTTAAAAATATTCATCCAACGAACTATGAGAATGTGGTCTCAAATGCACCAATATTGGAGCTATTCCCTTGGTACCAGATCACCAAAGGCTGTGAGAAAGAGGGAGACTGCTGTAGCTTTAGGAACTCTGACTTAAGAAATCATTTAACCCTGCTCCCCACTGATGTACATTGATAGTTACAAATGTGTCGTTTTTTTTTTCACATACGTTAAATCATAGTTCAGACTTTGACCTCAGGAAGTTTGCATAGCTTGTAAGTTAGTAACTATCATATTCTTGAGTAATCCTTAAGAAATAATATTAGAAAGTCTATATAGAATAGTTAAATGATTGTTTCAACTGTAGCTGTTTATTAAATACTTTAAAATTGGTGTAAAATGGATTTTAAAATGCACTATTTGAAAATAAGTCAATAGTAGCATTTCAGTTTTTCAATCCTATTGGAACATTTGAATGTTTAATTAATTTACTCTAATATATACTTTGAATGTCATTAGCCACTTTCATTTAAAGAGGGACACATAATAATAATAATGACCACATAAATCTATATACCAAAACATATCTAATATGACTCGAAGTACTTAAAAACAACTTTATTTTTGATAAATTATATATAAATAAAAATAATCATGTATTTATAAATATATCAAGAAAGAATATTGATATTTTCCCATTTAAATTCACTTTATTTGAAGCTGAGGGCAGAAATCAATACCATTTTTACTTGTAATACATTTACTTTTTGTGTAATCCACTGTGAGTGAATATGGTATACATAAAAAGAGATTTAGGGAGTTTTTCTAATCTAATTTTACACACAACTAATCTTTCAGATGTGTAACAAGTTTAAACCTGGTATCACTGTATCGAAGATCAATGTCAAAAATGCAATGTGGTCATAAGTTGAAACGAGTTCTCTAACAGTTTTCCAATTTCTAACATCTGCAAAAGATAATTGACTTGCTCCTTCCAGCCTGGGTTCCCCGAAATTTTCTTGATAAAAAGTATAACCTTTGTTATGTGACTTCATCTTAAACTGAAATCCATTTTAATAGTGTGTTTGCCCAAGATAAGATTCATCAACATGCAGGGCTTTTGTACACATTTATTTCAGAATGATTTTACTTTGCCTTCTATCACAACCTAATGTTTTTGAGAGCTGAAATACATCTGTTGGTGTTACATGAAACAAAAATTTTAAAAGAAAAGCCCTTTAGCCATATAATAAATTGTAATACTTCAGTCATAGAATTAAACAAATACCCAAAACTGGTGCCAATCAAGACTTTATACTGAAATACTTAACAAAACAAACAACCACAACAGCAATAACAGAAGGAAATGAACTGTGACAGGAGGGGTTGATCATATGTATATGTGTACAAGCTATTCCAAGCTAGACGGTTCCCAAGAAATTAAGGTCAATAGAATAGTTTTGGTCAAAGTGTCATGGCAATCCAATTGCTCCTTGCGGTGCTAACCAAGCCGCTGAAACTTGTGGTTATGCTTTGCTATCATCTTCCTTCGACTGGATGATGTCATTAGACACTTTAATATCTATAGTTTCTGCATTTAGGACTTCTTTTCCATTGTCTTCTTTTAAAGGCAATTTTCTGGAAATGAACAGAGAGGTTACAAACTAAATTTCTAGAAATAATTTAAAGCATGTTTCTAACAATTTCAATTATTCAATTTCATTTTTCAAATGAAGCATGCTATATTTTACAGAGAAAAAGATAAGTTATTTAAATATTTATTTTATTCTTTGAGATTATGACATTTTTCCTTCATAGTCTTTCCTGCTAGCACTCTCATATATTTTCAGTTGTTATTCTCTAGATCCTTAGCCTCTTTCTTCCATATGTTGCATGTATATGTCTATATAGAGCTATAAATTTATTCTGAAATTCAGCCTACTCAGTCACTATAATGTTACCTTTATGAATATTTTCAGGGACATTCCTTTTACATTTTGAAAGAATTTATTTAAAAAATAAACTAGGATGTAATAAAATAGTTTGCATTTGCCATTACCATTGTCTGAAAGTAATGTGACACACAGAATATTTGAAAAAACTATTTGTAAATGTAGGTAAGCATAATTGCTCATTGTGGATAACTTTGATTTCATAAGTTAAGTTTAAATTAAAAATGAATTGCCAGATGGGGTAGTCATCTTTAAATCCTTTCACATGAGAGACTGAAGCATGAAAATCTCTTTGAGTTTGAGGCTAGCCTGGTCTACATAGTGAGATCCAGGACAACTAAAGTTACTCAGAGAAACCCTGTTACAAACTGCTGTAGCTCCCTCAAGAGAGGTTTTCCTGATTCAGAGGTAGCAGAAAGAAAAACTGTGTGGTTTTAAAATGGCAGCTTCCTGGGCCATGCTATCAGAATAAACTCTGACTCTTTTAGGAGTCTGAGTACTTGAATGGTGCTTGTGAGGAGTATACTGCAAGTTGCTTGGTGGCAGCATAGGCTTACTAATTACTAGAGTTGATGTGGTAAGCATGGCTCCCACCTGGCTATCTCAGAGGCAGTGAACAGACCTCTGCCATGTTGGACTGGGCAGAGCCAAAAAGCAAAACAGCCTTAGTGCTAACCACACTGCTTTGTATTTTAAGAAATGTCCTGGTCAAAAAAGAATATGCAATAAAGACAGATTCGGATTTTTAAAAAGGACCTCTAAATGGGTCACAATGTTGGATAAAAATATGTAGGCTTGGGAGAGAGAAGAAAACAAATATAGACAGTTTCAAAGGAAGTACATGGTTATAAAAATAAAACAATGTCTTTAAAGCAAAAGAGTACAAACAATCTTAAAGTAGAAGGAATGAAGAAAAATAAGCTATGCAAAGATGGAAAATACATAGCTAGTCTGGATTATTCATTGATGGGGAATCTCAGTCAATCACATTCTGCTTAAGGTGTGTCCCCCTGGGTCCACACAAAACAAATAAAAGATCAAAGTGTCTTGCCACTTCCTCTTTTTAGTTCCCTGCTCAACTTCTGTTCATGGGATCTCTAGTCGTGTAAGTTTTCCCCTTTTCCCCAATTAGTAAAAGCTAAATCTTTTTGTATTGAGTTGGCCTGGTTAATTTTCGATCTATCACCGCCCTTCATTTGGCACCCAACATGGGGTTTTTATTTTCACGTAACCTCCTGGTTGCCATGTGGCCACTGGGAGCCAGCGACCCCCACTCACCACCGAGCCTCTGTGCAGCTTCTGCTCCATGCTGCCCGCAACAGAAGCAGCAGTGTGGGCCGAGCACAGTCCTAGGGCCACCGGGTGTCCACAGCAACTGCACCGCCCCAGAGCTGCCCTTCTCTACACCCTACAGCATCTGGTATTTATTGCACAGTTGTTTATTCTCTTACTCTTCAAGTTAGATAGATATCGAGAATTATAAATCAATAGTCATATATGTTTGCCATATTTAGGCTAATCAGGTTCTTTAGATACATAGAAATTACATTTAGTGTAGATAATATAATCTTTAACCTCTTCAAAGAGCTGTAAAAAAATGGCCTTTCATCTAACCTAGAATTTCGTGCTAATGAGACACAATCACTCCTGACAACACCGCTCTACTGCCGAGAAAACTTTGAGCACCAAAGACACTCCACTTGGAGCTTGCCTTCTTCTTGACAGAACTGGCCTTTGGGCAAAGAAAAAGCCCACACCTTGACCACTGACAAAATTACAAAATATCCGTAAATGGATAAAAAAACAGGATTGTCTTATCTTGCCAACACAGGTAAGAGAGTTCTAAAAGGTTCCTTGCCTTTGAAAATGGCATGTCAGTTATGCTAGGCCTTAGCCAAAGTTGGTAGACTCGACATTGCAAACAAGACTGTGGGTGATTGCCCAAGTAATCAATTGTCTCTTTCATTTGTTACACATTTTGAAAGCTTTTCACTTGTACTTCTTGGCTGCTTAAATAAAATTATTTTCCTTCTCAGATCTTTGATGGAGTTGAAGATTGGATAGTTGTAGTTACCCTCTACATTATTTAGACTCCTTAGTAAAACTTTTGTTATATGTTTCTTGCTTAATACTCTTTGTTGCTTGTAATTTTATATTTGTTATCTGTTCCTACTGTATATAGTTATATTGGGTTTAGTTCAATCTTGTTTAGAAAAAGGGAGAGATGATGGGGAATCTCAGCCAATCACACTCTGCTTAAGGTGTGTCCCCCTGGGTCCACACAAAACAAATAAAAGATCAAAGTGCCTTGCCACTTCCTCTCTTTGGTTCCCTGCTCACCTGGTGTTCATGGGATTTCTGGTTGTGTAAGTTTTCCCCTTTTTACCAATTTTTAAAAGTTAAATCATTTTATATTGAGTTGACCTGGTTAATTATTGATCGATCACGCCCCTTCAATTCATATTACTTTGTTTTCTTTAAATTTTTGACTGTGAAGGAACTAAGTACAGTGAGACATTTCATTGTATGGACTACCAAGCTAAGCCAAAATATTTTAAAGGTATCTTGACTTCAAAAATTGGGTCTAAGGTTATATTGCCTTGGAAAAGAGGTTCTAATTTTGTTTACACAGAAAATGAGAACCTGTGGATTCCTTCCAAACTAATGTTGTTTGATGGACCAAAACCTCTCAAAGGTCTTTGTGAATTCTCAATTACTTCACCCAACAAAAAAGAAGGAAGCAGTTTGGAGACAGTTATGTTCAAATTCCCAAATACTGTTTATAAATGTTTGTTTACATTTAAATGGATACAAATTTAAGGCCATTTTTGTTATATGTATATTTCTGCTCTTGATTAAGGTGTTGTGCTTGTACAGCTCATTTAAAAATGTAATGTTAATTAAGAAATACAGGTTAATAGATAGTCATATATAGTAGTCAAGTTTGTAGTTATGTCAGTTAGGTTTTCTAGATATATAGAGAGATAATGAGTTAGATAGATATTCTATAAATCTTTCAGTGATCTTCAGAATATGGCATTTAACATCTTTTAAGAGCGTAAGACATTCTATGACTATGAGACACATCTGGTACTGGCAGCATCACTCTACTTTAAGAAGATGATGGGCATCAGAGAGGCTCCTTACATAGTTTTTAGCCATTTGGGCAAGAAGCTGCTCATGCTTGAACTTTTTGACTGGAGTTGCAGGACCCACAGTAAAATGACTGCTGAAGCTTCCTAAAGAATGTGAGACAGTCCTTCAGGGTTCCTGCTTCATGAAAGACTGAAAGACATTCTGCAGGACACAGAAAAAAAAGTGACTAACAAACTGCCAATATATACAGAGCTGTCTTTGAAATTTCCTGGTCCACAGAAATGTCTCCCAGATACTATGAGCCTGTAGGCTTAAGATAGATTCCGAGAAAAATGTTACAGAAGAACTTTGGATGACTGTCCAGGTAGCAAGTTGTCTCTGTCAATTCTAGAGTTTTAGAAGTTGCTGAAACACACTCACTTTACTTAGGAAATATTATATTCTTCTATGGCCTTTGATGGTATTGAAGAATAGATAGTTATAATTATAGTTTTCCTTAGTTGTGATAAAAGATATAGTAGATATAAGTATTGTAACTATATTTCTTCCTTGATAACTGTTTTTTTATATGTAGTTTGACTATGTTAAAGTTAAAACTATCCTTTTTATTTAAACAGAATAGGGGAAAATATGTGAAGTCCTTCTGTATATGCGTTGCTTTTTTGGTTAATAAAGAAGCTGCTTTTGGCCAATGGCTTAACAGAATATAGCCAGGATGAAAGAGATATATAGAGAGAGTTGGTTAAGTCAGAGAGAGGCCATGAATCTGCCTGGAAACCTTGCTTGTAAACCACAGGCACAAGGCAATACACAGATTTATAGAAATAGGTTAATTTAAGATAAAAAAGCTAGCTAAAAATACACTTAAGCTATTGCCAAATAGGAATGCAAATAATATAGTTTCTGTGTTTTTATTGAGGGACTAGGCAGGACAGAAACCTCTGAAAACAATGGATAAATTTGATTTCATAATTTATGTTTAAATTAAAATAAACTACCAGATAGTGGTAGTCATCCTTTAATCCTTGCACTTGAGAGGAAGAGTCATGAAGGTCTCTATGAGTTTGAGGTCAGCCTGGTCTACAGAGTAAGTTCCAGGACAGCTACGGCTACACTGAGAAACACTGTCACCAACTACCCCCCAAATAAATAAATGAATACAATAAAATAAATATTTTTTAATTATTAAAAGCCTAAAAACTGACGTATGTCCACTACTTGGTTTATCATCTCTAATAATTATCACATGAGACTGACCTGCGCTCTTTAGATATGTTTCACAGTTGTGTAGCTTGGGCTGCTTGTGGGACTAGCAGTGGGAGAAGAGGCTGCCACTAACAAGTTGGCTGACTTTTATGAACCAGTTCCTCATATTTCATTGCCTTGCTCAGTCTTTATACAATGGGAGGAGCTAAGTACTAAAGCAACTTGATATATATGCTTTTTTGATACTCATGAGAAGCCTGCCCCTTTTGAAACAGAAGCAGAGGAAGAGTGGATGGGAGTCATTAGGGAGGAGTGGAAAGGGAAGGCGAGGATAGGAGGAGAAAGAAACTGCAGTTGAGATTTAAAATAAAATACATTTGATCAATAATAATAAAAAATAATCAAAAATAAGTGGGTGGCATGTCATTACAATTTAAAAAAATTGTGTGAGTCACCAATACCAATATTATTTTGAAATAAATAGAAATTACTATTATTTATGAAATTATCCTTATATATTATAATTATATTTTTTGGCATTTTTAATATTATTTATATTTGTTTTTTATAATACTAATGAATATATGTTTTAAGAGTTGTTTCTTACAATGAAACAGTATCTGCTTTTAAAAAGATGTATTATTTATGTATATGAGTGCTTGCCTGCATGTACATATGTGCACTGTATGTGTCCCTGGTGTTTCCAGAGTCCAGAAAAATGTGTAAGGTTTCTTCAAACTAGAGTTGCAGATGGCTGTAAGACATCATGTGGATACTGACTGGGAACTGAATACATGTCCTTTATAAGAGAGCAATTGATAGTAAACACTGAACCGTGTCCACAGGTTCCTTGTTTTTTCACTGAAATTGAGATAGCTTTATTAAATCTTAATTAGACAACATTGAATGAAAATTTCCTTTATTTGTATTGCAACATTCACTAGTTCAGTGTTCCATCTTATGCATGCTACCTTGGGAACTAATACTTCCTTCTTTGATAAAACAATGCTCTAAAGATTCACAAATACCACTTCAGCTGAACTTAGTCTAACTTTACCATTACATGGGAAAATTAATGTTGCTACTTTAGTTCTTCTGGGTTCTCTTGCAATTTATGTTATAGTATGGATAAAGAAAATAAATATTTTGTCATGGAAGTCCATGCAATTATGCTAAAAGTATTCAATTTAATTCAGGGAGCAGTGGAGTAATTAATGAGAAGGGAGGGTTGTCAGTACTGAGAAAGAGTGAAAGAGAGACAGACAAAGGTATCAGAGGACTTGCCTGGCAGGGAATTCTATGAACAGCAATACTAACTAACAACACTACTAGTCAAGGTGGTATGACTGACTGCTCAAGTAAACCATTCACCCCCTTATTGTATTTGAGAGCTGTTCCACAAATAGGGTATTTGGTGTAGGAGACCCTTCTGTATTTGTGTTGCTTTCACTGGTTGTTAAAGAAACTGCCTTGGCCTAGTTAATAAGACAGAACTCAGGTAGGTGGGAAAGACAAAACAAAATTCTGAAAAGAAGAGAAGAGTCAGGCAGACGCCATGGCTCTCCTGCCCGAGACGGTCCCTGGTTAGACTCATGCCGGTAGGCCACAGTCAAGTGGCAATAGACATTAATAAAAGTGGGTTAGATCAGGATGTGAGAGTTGGCCAAAAAGAGGTTAGATGTAATGGGCCAAACAATGTTTAAAGAAATACAGTTTCTATGTGGATTTAATTTCTGATGTAAACTGGCAGGGCAGCTGGGACAGAACAAGGGGCCCCACTCCCTTGAACAGATATCCATTCCTGATGTTATAAACTCGTTAAAAAGTAATGATTGAGAAGGTGTTCGTTACCAGATTTTACTGTTGTTTGACAAAGTTGAAAACGTTCCTTACTGAATATTCATGCTTCTATACTTTGAGGAATGCTTCATTCAGTCTTAATCATTCTTTATGTGTGTGGTAGTTAGTGCAGTGTCTCAGAGCTGCTCAAGATGCTTTCATTAAGTAATAGTTGAGAACTAACGACTGAGGAGGACGTTAAAACCAAACACTCAGATAACCATAGAACATATGGAAGATGGGTCAAATGAATGAGTCCAACAGAAAAAATTTTCATGAGTTGATTTCTTCTCGAAATCATGGTAATTGTTAACATGATCCAAATGAGGGGATAGCTGTCTAACCTTGACTAGTGCAGTCTTAACCTATCGATACCTTCTCATGGACTAAAAGCATGCTTTACAAGGCCATACATTCTCTTGCTGAACAACTGACTACGAATGGATTATGGGGCAGAAATAATTGCTCCATTCTGTTGTAAACTCGTTGATGAGTCCAACAAACTCCAAAGGATAGATAAACTCTTGATTACAGAAGGCACATGTTAATTACTCTGTTAATCATTAAACAAATTCGTGCCAGATGTGAGAAAAGGAGTTGTTGAGAGAGGTTGACAACTTGTGATAAGATGAGAGACAGTAGAGAAAGCAGGGATTGGAATGCAGGAGGTATGTTTATGAAATTATCAAAGAACAAGTTTAGTGACAGTAAAACAAGTCTAGTGACAGTATGTGAAATAAAATCTTTGTTAACAATCTAGTCATATTGCAATAGTTATCAATAGTCAGCTTGGTAACTTATTTCCTGCCACTTACATATTTCAGTAAAATTTATTCATAATTTAAAACATCATTTTCCCCAAATTATCAATTAATGTTATAAAATTTAATTCTGAAACACATCTTTTTTATTGTTAATATTTTTCATGAGAATATAAATGTATACTTAAGGCTTAAATTTTAAGATATTGATAGAGAATTTTCTAGTGAAATATCTCAACAAAATGGACTTCTATAGCAAAATGTTATATGATTTAAAATACAAAATAATTCTATTAATAATGATATTTTAATTTAATGATACAAATAACTAAAATGATTTACACTTTACTGTTACTTGTCTGCAAATATAAGCATTTGGAGCTACGTACTCGGGTTCTGTTAATGGTGTGGTTTCATTTGGCTCATTCACTGGACTCCCATCTTCATGATTAGTGATTCTTTCATCCTCTGTTCTCATTTCCACTATTGGTTCTTTTGACCCATCTTTCCTAAAATGAAATATTAAGATATTTAATTCTTCAATGTGTCAATTGCTCATTTGTTACAACACATACACACACACACACACACGATAGACACTTTTCAATTAACCAAACATACAACATTTTTCTTTTGAATTCATATTTCCATGATTTGTTACTATGTAATTGGAAAGAAGTAATGCAGTCTTTTTCTATCATTTTTATCACTGTATCTTTGTTACTGTTGTTGTCTCCTGTTAGGAAAGGCAGTAAACATTTGTAAGACTGCTGTCCAGAAACCAATTAGGAATATTGTAAATTTGAGACCAGCTTTGACTATAGAGCAAGGCTATATTTCACGAAGAAAAAAGAAAGAACATTATTTTGAAAAAGTAGTTTGCATTTTAAAATCTATGTTTAAAAAATTAAAATATTTTATTAACCACAGTTTATAAATATTTTCTTGCCTAATTAGGAAAAAAGTGAAACATTTTAAAACAATTAAGATATGTATAGCAGCATGGGAGACAATCAATAGAAATATTCAGTTACATGATGTTGGAAATAATATATATATGCCTTAACAAAATTGTCAGGTTATTCCATCAATAATATTTACCACAGGTCTCTCTCTGCATATAAAAAATATAAACAGCAGCAACAAAACTAACAATAATCTTACTAATGGAGTTTACCAGACAAAGAACAACAGACAATTATTGGGATGCAAACTAGGATAAAAGAAAGATAAAATGTACACTAAATTATTCCCATTGTTATTGATATGTCATATAAACTTTCAATTGAAGCTAACTTCTGCCTATTGCCTTTTGTTTTCAATCTCAAAATAAAAATAATATATTTGTAAGAACTGAAAGTTTTTAAGTAATTTATTTAAGTATCTCATGTTTTGTGAGATGTGTGTGTTTTATAAATGTGTATGTATAGATGTGTGGGCACATGTCTGTTGTGCATACTTGTGGAGGATATAGAAAATGGTTTAATTTGAAATTCAAAAGAAAACCATAACAAGGCAAACTCGAAGATTAGCAAAGAAAGAAAAGCTTCAGTGAATGTCAAAACCTTGTGCATGCATTAGTGATTATTAAATGTAATATTGCTGTATTGGTTTAAAGATAACATGAAAATGTAGTACAATAGCAATCACAAAAGAGGAACCATTCCTATGTGTATGGTAGATATGGTTAAAAGATATGATTTGTAAGCAACATATGTCAATTTCATTTATCAGTATTTGTGTAAACATAGGTGAAAAGTGAAATTACTGAAAGGAATCTGGATCCCAACATCAAGTTCATTAAAAGTTTAAATTAAAATCAGGAACATAGCAGGCTTGTGAGCATAATAGAGAGCTAACTTACTGAATTTTTTTAGATCAAAATTTCCAAAGTAGAATCAAATATAATCAAAAAATTATAAACCTGTAATAGATTAAATTTAAATGTGGATATTTTTGAATGGCAAATTTAACATTAAAATGAATTTAGGTAATTAAGCGATTAATTAAAGATTATATACAATAGATATAATTTATAAAATAGCAGAAATAAAATGTAGAATGTGTTTTTGCTCTGTGGCATTTTGAACTTCAATTGAGAAAATGCAAAGGACATACTGTCCTGTAGATATTTCTATAAAAAGTTTTATCAATTAAAAATAGATGTGGAAGAGACCATAACTATGGACAGTGTAAAGTCAGGGACGAGCCTGGGAAACATAAGAAAGGAAGCCAAACAAATCAAAAAGAGCGAGTCGACAAATAGCATTCATCCGTGGTGTCAGCTTCAGTTCTGTCCTCTAGGTTCCATGATTCTGATCTACATCTAATCATGTGCTATTATAGATACATAATAAATGTAATATGTAAAATATAATATATAAGATAGTACATAGTAGTTTATTTTCAAAATGATACTGAACAAGGACTATATCTAAAAAAACCAAGTTTTAAGAGAATACAATCCTACTATGAGGCAAACTAAATTATTTAATTAAATTTTATATCTGACTCTCGCAAAGCTACAAGTGGGAAAAAGAATGGATAATATTAGATAATAAGAAGGAAACATTTTCTGAATCACTCTCAGAAGATAATCAGGCTTAAAAAGTGGTGGAGTGAGAGAGTAATTGTGAACAAGTACATATATTATACAGATTGAAGGCCTGCCCAGAGAGTAATATTTGCACTGTATTCTAGTTAAACACCTGATGTGGCTTAGAAGAAAGCCAAAAACAAATCACACAAGATGAGCTTGTGCTTCCCTCATGGGAGATAGCACTGGGATACTCACAGGTATGCCGCCTTTCCTTCTTCCAGTTCTTTACTTTTTCCACTCGAGCCACTTTTCTTCCCACACATTCTCCTAGTGATGCACATTAGTAACCCACATTGTCGAATGAAGAAGCAGCTGACATCTGTTATCACAAGGATTAGCAAGAGGGCAGCGACTCCAAGGCCAATAATGGCTCCTAGCCCAAGACCATTAAAAAGTGTGTCTTTAAAAAGAAAAAAAAAAACCTCATAAACCACCAAAATACACAATATGAATAACTATTCTTAAAGTAACTTCTAATAAGACATATACTCAAATATAGATGAAGAAAATAGTAGTGACTCACAGGTGTCAATAACTAGACTATTGGGACCTCTTGTCTGTCTAATAATCATATTTTAAGAAGTAACATGTTAAAAGGTCAAATATTTTTCAAACTATCTTTAGAAAGAAGATAAATAACTTCTATTCAATGGAGTCTTCTATTCATACTGAGGGAAGTAATGAATTTTATCATATCACAAACCGTGCTTGACCAAAGTATTTTTCATAGGTAATCATATGCTTCAAAAAACTATATGACTTTTAATAGAGAAGGATTTTACAAGTGTTTAGTATGATGGTATTTTGACATTCTAACTAAAACATAAATTGGATGGCTCCAAGGATTTGGCTTTGACACAGGTGACAGATTCTTAAATGCCTGCAAAGGATAATTTTGAAATCATTACTTAAAAAAACAAGTGGTTGCTTTTGTTTTGCAGGTAATATTTTAACAGATTAAAAGTACTATACAGGTATGATATTTAAGATAAATTACTAGTTGTTATATTAATAGGGTACATTATACCCTAATATATTAGGTAGGTACTTTTCTTAGAGGAGCTGATTTTTCTTGGTATTTGTTTATGGGTAGGAGCGAGTGTTAGGCAGACTGTGTCTATGAAGAGGTGACTGGAATGAGGAGGGGACAAAACAGTAGAAATATTGAGAGTCCTAAGTCTGTAGTTGAGTATGACAAGATTACACAATCCTAAAAGTGTAAGTAGGAAAGCAAGTACCATAGAGAATAAATTGAATATTTTATTATCTAGAGGAAAAGGAGGTGATGTAATGACTTCATACACTTTTCACTATGAATATCAATATATTCTAAGAGCTGTAGGACACTCTTAAATTGTACAGCTCTATAATGATAAAATACATTTATTATCAAAAATAAAAATTTAATGGTCCTTTCATAATTATTATGGAACCAAAAAGATATACATTCTTTTGTCCTACATAGACGCATAGATTATGCATAAAACTAAATATTTATCTTTAAAATCCTATGTAACCTTCATTGATTGCTTGCTGTACATGATCTAGAAACCAAATTTTCAAAAATTGGGTTGAAAAAAACTTACAAATTAAGTAAGACTTTATACCTCATTTAAATTCCTCTCATAGCTAAACAAAGCACATGAGAATAAATTCTACAGATCAGTGTTATTGCGCCTGTTGAATAAGGAATCTCACTATGCCTGTTCTAATGATAAATCACATTTTTTTTACAATCTACAGCATCAGAAGACAGAAAACCTATGTTCAAAGGACAGTTGTACTACATAGTTGCAAACGTCTATCTCCTTTTTCCAATCCTAAGATGTCTCTCTATTTTAATGAGCACAGTTATGCAAACAAACACCAGACAGCAGCAGAAAGGCATGTGGAAGGATGTTGTGTCTGAAAATGAACTTAAGATTCCTCATGTGCAGATTCAACAAGAATCAGCTTTTACTCTCATTGCTTCTATATTACCCTTTAAATAAATGTTTAAACCACATTGCCAGTGGTTAAACTTGAAGCTAAGCTGCAAAAGTGTTTCTGTTCATCTTAAGCAATGGGCCAGCAGAATCTCTTATTAAATACTGATTACTCTTTAGAAAACAAATTTTACAACATAACCGAGGAAGCCTAGCTAGCTTTGCAATAATGAATATTTTGTGTATAATATTTTTGGAGGTTTATAGGTGTATTGATAGCCATTCAATCTTTAGAAAAAAATGTTATTTGTAAAATGTTTTATATAATTTATAATAATGATAATTGATATCAAAATAGTTTTAATTTCCTAGAAAAACAAAATTAAACACTTTAAATATGAGATTAAATATGGAATATTTGAATTATTTTTGTGTAAAAGCAAAATATATTTTGCTACCAGGATGATAATTTTAAATTATCACTTTAAATTATAATATTAAATAAATGTTTATATTATAAATATTTAATTTCTTCATTTCATTAAGAACTAATATATACATTTGGATGCTTAAAGTTTTTATATATATATTGTGCAACAGTGATTATGAAGATTAAATCTCCATTTCCCTGAGACCAATTTTATTGGAATAACACTTCATTTATAATTTGGGTTTGCAGACCTACATTTACATACACATATTTATGATAACACTGTGATTTGAAGACTAACATGAATTTGAAAAACATAAACAATTTTCTTGTATAAGTTAACAGTGTGATTTGATTGTTTAGAGAACTGGAATGTAACACAAAGTCATCAATTCAAGTATTTGAAATTCATATTTGCACTCACTTTTATAATTACTTATTGTGACATGTTACAATTTCATGAAAAATTTATAACATAGGAAACTAATGTTTTTTTATATTTCTACCTTATTTGAATGAAAATTGAGGTCCAGAAAATCTTTGACGTTAATCAAAAGTATTGTAGAATAAAGACACCTTTAACTCAAATTGTTTTATAAGCAGTCACAAATGCTACCAATATAGTAGACTTCACCATATAAAGATATAGAAATATGTATGATGCATTTTTCTTTATCATTAGTTGAATAAAAGCAATTTAATGGCTTAGGGTCATTTGAAGAACATAAATTACATAATATATTTCTGTCATAAGCTTTATTTATTGATCTTTCACATTATTTCTAAAAGAATAAATTTTTTGTAGGAAATGTATACAATCAAAATGTTTAATTATAGACCATTAAGTTGTTATATTGGCTCGTGTTTATTACTCAAACCTAATGAGAGAACCACTGAGAAGTTTCTGAATTCCATTTCTCAGCTACATTGCTCCAACTCCAAGAAATTTAGAAATTAGATATGCAAGCTAATATTCGTCAAGTAATTACAAAATTGTGTTCTTGCTTCAATCAAATCACAAGTCAAAGCACTAAAATATAAAAAGGGAATTAAATTCAAATTTGTTTTATATATGTCATATATTTCTATTATAAAAGACATACACTACTGAAACAGTGAATTATTTTGACAGGAAATATGTATATTAGTTTTAAAAAACTGTGTCCTAAAAGATTCAGAATATCCTTACTTTTGACTCTTCATTTTAGTACTTTAAGTTTACTCTATTGATTGTGTGTAAATTTATTTTGTCTTAAGTTTATTAAAACTTTTCAGAACTTGGCAAGACTTGATAATGACATAGTGTATAAATTCTAAGTTTTATTTTAGATATTCATTATTAATTTCATTAAAATTGCTTAGTGCTGTTAAAAAAGTAGGTTGTAAGTACAGAAAATAGAGCAGATACTCAAAAAATGTAGTGTTTCATTATGCTATTATACACCCAATACTCTTTGTTCTCATATTAGAGATGGGTCTTTATAATTCCTTGGTATATGCTGCTGATTAAACAAGGTAGGACAACACACTTTTAAATATCAATTGATCATCTTTTTTATTTATTAAAAATTTCCACCTCCTCTCATCCTCATATTTCTCTCCTACCCCCCCTCCAGTCCTAAGAGAAATCAGGGTGCCCTGCCTTTTGATAACCTCAGTATCAACATATACAAATACACATATATGTCTGTGCTCTTTGCAGAAGAGATTGCAAATGTAAATGTGATGTGCCTGTCTTGTATCTCAATGGAATTTTGGCTATTGGAGAATAAATAAGGAATACTTAAGTTTTTACTTTGCCCAACAGAAATAAATTTAGCGGTGATTTTGAGCAATTCTGAATTAAAAAATTTATATTAATTGATGGTGCTATAAATGTTATTTTAAAAATATGACCATTGAACCTCAAATGTTTGACAATGCCTTGTGTAACAAAAGAGATTTGAAATATGGATACAATATAATAAAAGATACACATAAATATTAACTGTTCTGGAAATAGTTTTAAAAAGTATTTGCTGGAAAAGAAAAGCAAAGAGCAGAGAAAAATGTATAGCTCAATAAAAACAATAAAAAATAAAAATAAAAGGAAAGTTATATGTCATAAAACATATTCAAATGTATTATCCTTAATTGTTATTTGTATAAAAGAAAGGCTCAATTAACTCAAATTTAAATTGTATGAGAAGTACATATTAGACTCTCAGGGATGAGATGTGTTAAAGAAACAGAGACTGGCATATAGACTGAAGCAGCAGGCTTCTTTCAAGTAGAGTTTCATCACTTCTGTTCCACATTGCATGGCTATGGCCAAGCAGCACTGCAGAAATGAAGAAGCCTAATTTCAGAGCACCAATAAAGAGATACAAGAAAATCATTCAAGGATATAGAAAAAGAAAAAGGTCTACTGTAGTATAGGTAGACATGGGTGTTTGAATCTCCAGAGAATAAACAGGCAGAAGAAGTATAATAAACATGAAGATAGCTGAAAAACATCCAAGTATCTATAGATTTAAGGGCAAACAGAATACATACTTCTGTTAAGAAGGAGGGGAGGTCTGGATTCTGAGGAAAGATCCATGTGTGCTGTATGGAGAGTTTTCAACTTCCAGTGAGAAAGAGTGACAACCACAAATTAAGAATCAGAGAAGAGGCTCAGAAAGATTGCCCTTGTTTTCAGTAAAAATATTTTAAAGATAATGAAATTTGAACTGAAGTTTCCATAACAAAGATAGGTACATAATAGCAACAGTGGGAGGAGACTGGGAAACCGAAGCAATTATGCCGTTGAAGTAGTTAGCTGCTCAAAAATTGCCTAGGAGATGGATCTTGTAGATCCAACCAATTAGGCGAACATAGCTACTCCAGCTATGATCCAAGGATTTCCTTCAGGGGCCACGCAGAAACAGCGGGAATTGGCAACATTGCAATATGCACTTTTTAGACATGTAAGAATGAAAATAACAGAGAACCACTGTTTTCAAGCAAGATGTGGTATAATCAAAGTGTAAGCAACGGTTTGGAGAGGTTATGACACACAGTTGT